GCTAGCTAGCATCTTGGAATGAAAGGGCTACATGAAGCAAGCCGGAGGCATACTTTTATGTATCTATATATATATGGTTCTCTATTTCAGTAGTTTACGCATGCTGCCTCCAAATCTGTGTCTGTTGCAATTCAGCTTTGAGAAGCATAGCCTCACGAGTTATAGATGCTCTGCTACTAGATAATGTTTAGTGCTCCCTAATGAATTCTCTCTTGTCATCATGGATCTTGCAACAATTCAAAAAGAAACTCATCAACAATAAAATGTCATGTCCCACCAAGAAAATTGAAAAATTTCAAAATGAATTGTTGATGAGGTCTCGTGAGTAGTGAACTGGCTATCCGAGGAAATTTTGTTTTATCTTTCGGGTGAAAGTGATGGAGATGAGGGGAAAAATGGGGCAAGACAAGGATGGATTGGCCTTTTACCGACATAGACAAGGACCCAATCCATTGGGTGATAATTAAGCTATCATAATAGTCCCTCAACTTTTAATAAATATTCGCTTTCAGCCTTTCGGTTCATAATTAAGCTATCATTTTTCTTAATTGGGTTCCTAAAGTATTAGATGCTCCTTAATGGCATTTAACACATTGAGAAACGTAGTAACCCAATTAAGAAAATTGATAGTTTGGATACTATGACAACATACAGCTCCTAGTTAGGGGACTAACTTGAAGGTTTTCCCAAATATAAATAAACATTGTCATAATCCAATTTTGGCCCTTTGGCTTTTAATTTAATTTTTACAGGGTTTAAAATGAAAAATTAAAAGATCAGAGATTTATTTCGATGAAAAGTGTGATTTGTCAACTTCCGTGAAAATTGAGGACTACAATATACCTTTGTCATTCTAGTCTTATCCTCAAGATAATCCTTATCTTCTTCAAGATAATCCTTACCTTCAAGATAATCCCTATCTTCTTCAAGATAATCCTTACCTTCAAGATAATCCTTATCTTCTTCAAGATAATCCTCAAGATAATGATTAGTTGTCTGCTTTCGAATTCGATTCTAATTCGAACTTCAAAAAAGAGAATGAGTTTGATTGAGACTTTACTTCTCGCAAGTGATGGGACTCTTGCACTATGAATATAGATCTTAGGGGGGGGGGGAAGGATGAACCCGAGAACAGATAATTAACCTAGAAAAACATAGCAAAAGAAAGAAAAGAAGGAGGGAGGGCGATTAGAGAGAAACCCTAAAAGAAAAAACCTTAAGAGGAGGTCATTACCAGAAACCTTAAAAGAGAGAAACACACAAAAAGAAGGGGGCGGCGAACCCTATACTAGTCGCCGCCCCCCTCAATCCTTTTTCTTCCCAGTCTCCCTCGACTTCGCCTTCAGTAGCCACATGCTTAGATAAGTTTCCTTCTTTTCTTGCTAAAATAATTAACTGGTCCGTGTTTGCCAGGGGTGTGCTTGGAAAAAGAGGGCCGAGAGACTGAGGACTAGAGGGACACCGAGAGGAAAATAGAGGAAGAGAAAATAGCATCAGCAGGCCTACCTTCCACTGTCATTATCATCTTTAATTGCAGCACCAGGTAAGTTGCTCTTTCTCTTCTTGCATTTTAATTACATGCTTCCTGTAGCAGACGTGCGTGAGCACTTCACGCACTCCTGCTGGTAAATATAAAAAATATAAAAATAAAAAATGTGTATGCATGAATAAAAATAATGTAAATTTATTGATTTATTCACTGACGCCAGAGTCAGGAATAAAAATACCAGTTCAAATTTATATTATTTTTATTCGTTGTATTTTATTTTATTTAGCTAGAAAAATAAAAAATATGTGCATATGTAAAAATAAATTTATTTGATTTGTTTATTCACTGACGCCAGAATCAGGAATAAAAAAAAATATTAATTTAGATTTATTTTATTTCTATAGCTGCGTAATATTTACCAACGCCAGAGTTGGAAATATTTGTAGTTAAATATTCATTGACGCTAGAGTCAGGGATATTATAAGCAAATTATCATAGCACAAACTAATAAACATATAGCAATTTAAGAAGAAACTAGCAATGCAGCCTGCCTCAGGCAGGACATTTACGTAATGAGTCCCGAATCATAGAATCTCTATTGACCAGTTAGGGTTCCTAGTGACCATAATACTAGGTGACGACTCCTTAAACAAGATCATTCCCCTATCAAAGAATAGAATGCCAGAAATCCATTATTTCCATTGAATTATATTTTTAAGGTCGTCGCGATGTCGGGTGAATTCTACCTTTAATTTAATTTTAGTATGCAAATGGAAATGTTGGATTTTCTGTATGAACAGAGAAGATAGACTTTGTCTTTTAAATTTATCTGAATTAAAAATCAAAATATAACTTCAATCAATTTTACAAAGATCACATCAAGTGCAGCAACATGTTTGGTTTTGTGAAGAGCCTCTGAAAGTGGACAGAGATGGGCCTAAAGCCCATATAATTTGGTTATTTAACCATTAACTGGAATATTGATATTATTGAGCTGTTGGCCGGGCGAGATTGTTTATGTTAAAGATATATTTTCTTAATTAACTTTTAAATGTAATCGAGCGTGAGCGTTTGAAGTCCTAGCCGGTGGATGTGATTGAGATTATAATAAGAGTGAGGACAAGTATTTTTTATTTAGAAATATATTAAAATAAATTATTTTTATTTTAAAAAATTATTTTTAATATCAGTATATCAAAATAATCTGAAAATATAAAAAATATTTTTTAATAAAAAATAAATTAAATTAAAAAAAAAACATAATTTTAACAACTTTTCCAAGCATAATAAGTAATGTGTCAATCTTGAAGCAAAGCAATATGGCTATTCCATTCATGTATTATCAAAGTTTGTGTTACAATTCTGACACACATTATAAGTTAAGTGCAGTACAAATCTGTAAATGCAACAGATATATTGTATATTTTTTTTATTTGATTTGGCAGTGGATATTGTTTTCAATATCTTTATTTGAATTGGTAGGGCATATTTTTTTTTCTCTTATGCCCATCAACTAAATAGGAATAGTTTAATAAGACTTTTTCCAAAATAATTTTCTTATTATCATAACAGCTAATTCTAAATTAGATTATACTAGCTATTTAACTAACAATTCACCAAAGGTTGAATAATTTTTTTAACGAAAAAAAATATACAAACTTCTTTAAAACTAGCAAGTCCCCGTGATTTACTTACTTTTTCAACATGTATTTTGAGTAAAACAATCTCAATCATAAATCAATAAGCCTGGATATACATTTAATTAAATAAATCAAGAATCATTTATGCTAATAAAAAAATATTTTAATGAATCTATTTGACCTTATTTAACCCCAATATTTTTATTTGAAGCACACTATTTTATTTTATTTTTTATCTTAAAGGTCATTGTTTCTTACCAAGAATAAATAATTTTAATTTTTAAAAATAAAAATTATTTATATAAAACATAAAAAATATAGATAAACTAGAATAATTTCTTCAAAAAATTAAACACATACAAAATAATTGAAAACAATCACTATTACAAAAAATCTAATTGAACAATATGAAGAACTAAAGGAAAGGAATATTAATTTAAATAAAAATTAAAAAGATAAATATTAAAAAGATATGAATTAAAAAATTAAAAAAAAAAGAAGAAGTCAGACTTTACTAGGCCTAGCAAGCCAAGTTCACATGCCTGACGCGTTATGAAAAAAAAAAATAGATGACATTTTGTATATCCCATTAACAAATAAATGAAAAAAGATCCAAGCATGTGGACTTATAAGTGTAGAGTGATAAATATTTTAAGTGTTGAGAATAAAAAATAATAATTTCTTTCTAAAATAAATTTTAAGAAATAAAAAAATTTAAAAAAAACTATAAAAGAATGAAGATAAAAACAAAAATAATTATGATATATAGATTTGGTGTAGAGTGATAAATATATCAAGTATAAAGAGAAAGGAGGGAGGGGGGAGCCAAAACAAAAAATATTTTTTTTTCCAAAAAAATAGAAAATTATAAATTTTCCATAAGAAAAAAAAATCATAATTTTGTCATTGTTACAGTAAAAAAATTATAAAAAATAAAAAATTACAATTAAATCACTACTACAATACCAACTAAAATTACTATTTCTAGAATGTGTGTGACCGTTTTATTTTAGTATATTATATAATTTTATAATATATCAAAGTGATTTCATACTATAAATTTAGTTCTTATGGGATCCATTTTTGTTAATGTAGGGATCCATTGGTTAAATGAAAGCGATTTTTGGGAAGATATCAATGAAATTCTCATAGATTTTGTTCTTTTTATAAACACAATTGAAAAGGTATTTTTTTTTATTATATTTATTAAGAAAAAAATTTATTTAAAATATTTTTTAAAGACTATTTTATTATAGATACAACTAGTCAAGATTGTTTTAATTATAGTTTATAAGCTCAACTCAGGACAAGTCCATAGTTAACTCTATTTTTTTATTTTATAAATAAAAAAAATAAAAAATTTTATTATTTAAAAAAATAAAAAATTTAATGGGTTTTAACTATATTTTTTATGAGCTGACTAAATTGTAAGTCAACCTAAATTTTTAATCGGGTTATACTGAATCAATTTTTCTTCTATCATTATTGAATCCTAACCTAATCTAGGTTTTGAATCATCCAAGTTATGGCTTAAATTTTCCAACTAGGTTGGGTTTAGTTTTAAAAGAGTGGTTTTAATTAGATTTTGATGTTAATTCTTATAATTTATTCAAATCATTTTATGGTAAAAAAATATTTTATGGTAACAAATTATTCAAATTCAAATTTATATTATTCAAAATAGAAACAACATTAGGATCTTCAAAAAAAAAAGGAGAAATCAAATATAAATATATAGCCTTTTTTAGGTGTGAGCAAAAAAATAAAAAAACTGCTTAAACCGAGAAAACAAGAAAAAAATAACTGAAAAAACAGAATTATAAAAAAACCTATTAAACTAATTAGAAAAATTAAAAAACAAGCCAGTTCGGTTCGGTTTTGGTTTTAAAAGGTTGAAATCAAATAAATCAAACCGAACCGAACTAGTTCAAATAAAAAAATCAATAATACTATAAATACCTACTTTTCAACTTTCCCCTTCTCCTTTCTAAACCCTAGCCGCCATCCATGTTTCACAATCTTCATCTCTCAACACAGCCTCCACCTCATCTTCACTCTCAACCTTTCTCGCCCATGTTTCTCAATTTTCATTTCTCAGCACCGGCCCCCCCTCCCATTTTCATCTCTCGTCTCTCATCTCTCAACCTTTCTCACATCTCTCAATCGTTCTCACAGCCCTCCATCTTCATCTCTCAACCTTTCTCACAGCCCTCCCTCAATATCTTCATCTCTCATCTCTCTCAACCTTTCTTTAAGGCTTTAAGTACAACACCCCCTCCTTCCCCAAAGTAGATCTGGTGAACAAACTATCATTATCTTTCAATTTTTTTATTCTTTTCTTTAAGCATAGTCGACTAAGCTCATGAATTAACAACCAAACAGTAGCTCTGGAGCCCTCCTCTCTTCAATCTTTATCTTTTAATTTTTGTCTCTGCTTACTTTTTTTTTTATTTCTGTAGATCTATTATGTATTCATTTTCTATATTTATTTACAAGGTTGTTGATTTGTCATAGTATGCTCATGTTGCGATTACTGTAATGGATGTTGTAACAATTATTTTTTTCAAATTTTTGTTTGACTCTTATTCTTTCTGGCTTCCTGATTTTCAATTTTAGAAAACATGCTCGATATGCTTAGCCAAAATGAAATCGGTTTTTTTTCGGTTTTTCCTTTCAATTAACCGAACCGAACCAAACCGAAACTAGTCAGTTTGAACCGGTTTTGATTTAAAAATGAATAAATAAATTAGTTTGGTTAGTTTTTTGAGTGAAAACCGGACCGAACCGGAAATGCTCATCCCTAGCCTCTCTAAACATTATGTTCTTTATTCTTTCAAAGAGTCATCTTGGCAATGGTTTCCAAGAAATTACTTTCTACGGCAGTTCTCATATTCAATCTCTTCCTAGTGTTTAGTAATTTGCATAAACTCCCTACTAATATTTGTGTGTGTTATTTTTAGTGACTTTTTTTTTTAGGCATCGACAGTAACGAAGGATAGAAGTGTGGACATATTACCACTGATGCTTGCTACGTACCAGCGGATTGCGATTCAAGATGCCGACTACATGGGTTTAGTACAGGCACTTGTGTCGTCTTTGATGGTCTTCATATTCCTAGTTCAGGTTGTTGCGCGCTGTGTCAATCACAAAAAGGATCTACCATCGTATGGGAGTCTCGTTCCATTCCCATCACCACCTTCAGCAAATTAGCGGTGGCTAATTTCTTGAATAAAAATATCATAGACAATAAATAAATGATGATTTGTAGTCAAATCAAAATTAGTGTTCTCTTTTGAATCTCTTCTTTGGAAAATTAAAAAAGAAAAAATTATTCAAGATACTAGACATTTCTACCTAGGATCATTCTAAAAATGACTACCGTATAAAATGGTAACATACGGTTTTTGGATTGCAGCCAAAACACATAAACACCTCATGGTTTCTCTGCTAAAGCTTGCATATAGCTTCCTACGTGTGTTCTAATTGTCAGCATTTCATTTAAATTTTGTGAGGGTTTCAAGGAGATTAAGGTCGCATGCATGCATGTTGTGGTACTGGTCCTTTCAAGGGAAACATTTCTGGTTGCAATCCAAAAACTGTATGTGACGATGAAAATGTGTGTGTGTGTGTGTGTGTGTGTGTGCTCTTAAGAAGGAAACTGAAATTGATTGCTACCTATACTGAATTCAACGCGTTACCATTTTATACAATAGTCATTTTAGGGCAGAAAGTGTTAAATACAATTTGTAACATTCAATGTATGTTATTATCTTTTATGGTTTTTTTAGTTGTCTTTTATTAGCTTTTATGGTCTTTTATTAAGAGGAAGTGTTTCTACTTCTTCATTAATTAAGCTTTGTAGTATTTTTACTCTTCCTTGTACTATAAAAGGTGAGCAGAACAGCAAGGAAATATAACTAAGATTTGCCTCTGGTATTGAGCTATAGCTCTACCATTTATCCTTTCAATTCCTCCTTTTTAGTTTTCGCTTTTATTTCCAATAAATTTAGTATCAATGCCATTTGGTTTCTTCTATAGCTTCTTCATTTGGCATCTCTGCCTTCTCCTATACAACTACGCAGATTCCTATCTTCGATGGAAATCATTAAAAATACTGAAGTTCTCAAATAGAGACTATCTTCATTTCACAGGACTTATGGACATTAGTTGACGAGGGGTTTGCAGAACCACCCTAGGAAGGATCTTATACGAACTAGTTAGAAGAAGACGTAAAGGATTACAAGCAGAATATGCAAAGAAATGTAATTGCCTTGAGAATAATACAACAAGGAGTAAGCAAATCCATCTATACTATGATGTTCTCTATTAAGAAGGCAAGAGAAGCATGGGAGATATTAAGAAATGAATTTCAGGGCTCTCAAAAAGCCATATTTATTCGGCTGCAAAATTTATGGAGAGAGTTTGAAAATCTTACAAAGAAAGATAGTGAGGTGGTTAAAGACTTCTCTTCTAGAACCACTAAAATTATCAATCAAATCAAAAGTTATGAAAACAATGTTTTATATTAAAGAATTGCAGAGAAGATTCTCAAGAGTTTGCCATAAAAATTTGGAAATATAGTTGCTGTTATTGAAGAAATAAAAGACATGTCAAAACTTTCAATTCATGAATTGATGAGATCTTTAGAAGTGCATGAACAAAGGGTAAACTATTAAGCAAGCAACCAATGGAGTAGGCTTTTCAAATCAAAGCCAATTTTTCTGACAGAAAGGGAGCAAGTTTTCATCATCATAGAGGAAGAAGATTGTTTTATAGAAGGGACTCATGTGGAAGAGCAAGAAAAAGTCAGAATCACGGTAGAAGAAGAGGAAGAATGAATTTTTAACCAAGAGTAGGCAACAATTGATATTGCTCTATTTGCAAGAGAATTGGTCATAAAACTCAAGATTGTTTCTTCAAGTGTACCTGATATAAAAATTCCACTCACTCTGTCTGAAATTATTGGCTCAAAGATAAGAAAGGTGGCTATGGAGAGAACAATACAGCAAATTTTTCATAGGAAGAAGATCAATTATTATGTTCCTGTATGAATACAGAACATAAAGAAGAAAAAGTTTGGTATCTTGATAGTGGTTATAGTCATCATATTACTGGTGATCACTTAAGCTTTGAAACTCTTGATGAAGAATTTTCTTCTTATGTTGAACTTGACAACAACAAAAAGGTGGAGATAAAAGGAAGAAGTGATGTTGTAATCCACTCAAATGAAGGTAATAAAAAATGCATTCATGATGTGTTTTACTCTCCTAGAATTAGTCAGAATCTATTGAGTGTGGGACAAATGATGAGAAGAGGTTATAGACTGGTTTTTTTTTTTTTATGATGCTCGGTGTGAGATTTATAATAAGAACACAAATCAGAAAGTACTTGTGGTTAAGATGAGTTCTAATAATATCTTTCCTTTTAACATGAAATCCCTTCATCATGTTGCTACGAGGAGTGAACATCTTGATGATTCTCAACTTTGGCACTTAAGATATGGGCACTTAAATTATAAGGGCTTGCAGTTATTAAAGAAGAAGGATTTGGTCTCTGGTTTGCCTTTTATCTAGAATCAAGTTGGGATTTGTAAAGGATCTGTGTATGGAAAAATGCATTGGTTTCCCTTTCTAAAGACAGCCTGGAAAGCTAAAGCACCATTTGAATTGGTTTATGCAAACATTTATGGTTTTATGCATACACCATCTCTGAATAATAAGATATATTTTCTACTTTTTGTTGATGACTTTTCCAGAATGATCTAGATCTATTTTCTTAAAAAGAAATCAAATGTTTTCTCTGTCTTTCTGTAATTCAAAGCTCTTGTAGAAAAGCAAAGTGGATGTCAAATGAAAACTCTAAGGACAGACCATGAAGGAGATTTCATTCACAAGCCTTTTGTTGATTACTGTAAAGAGAATGGCATTCAAAGGTAACTTATAGTCAGACATACACCTCAGCAGAATGGAGTTACAGAGAGGAAGAATAGAATTATTGAGGAAATGACAAGAAGCATGCTAAAAAGAAAAGGACTTTATAATAAATTTTGGGCAGAAGTTGTTAACACTGCAGCTTACATTCTCAATCGCTCTCCAACAAAAGCAATCAATAATGAAACTTCATTTAAAGCATTGCACAAGAGAAAGCATGATGTTAGCCATCATAAAGTTTTTGGCAGCATTGTTTATGCTCTTATTCTTTCTTAAAGCATAGACAAGTTTGATGAGAAAAGTGAGAAGCTCATCTTTATTGGCTATAACGATGAATCAAAAGGTTTCTGACTTTTCAATCCTAAAAAAGATCAGTTACTGCTATTCAAGGATGTTATCTTTGATGAAACTACTACTTGGAAATGGGAAGATTTTGTTAATTCTAAAAAGACAAGTCTGAAGTTACCTCAAGCGTTAGAGTAGCTTGACGTTTCTAATTTTTAAATCAAAACTGGTTTAATTTTGCAGAATGGAGGAAGCTCATTAAGTTATATTGATGAATTAGATTTAAAAACTCCTCATACAAGAGTTTGTTCATTAATTGATATGTACAACTCTTGTCATGTTGCTTTCTTTTCAAGTGAACCTCACAATTTTGAAGAAGCAGTAAGAAAGGAAGAATGGAGGAAAACTATGAATAAAGAGATGATAAGTATAAAAAAGAATCAGACATGGAAGTTGGTAGATTTGCTATAAAAAAAGAGAGAAAACAGTGGGGTTAAAATGGCTGTTCAAGATTAAATACAATGAAGATAGCAGCATTTATAAGTATAAGGCTAGAATTGTTGCTAAAGGTTATTCTCAACAGCCTAGAGTTGATTTTATAGAAATCTTTACACGTATTGCAAGGATGGAAACTATTAGAATTGTTCTTGCCTTAGCTGCACAACTTTATTTATAAGTGTTTTAGCTTGATGTTGAATCAGCCTTTCTTAATGGTGAATTGCAAGAGGAAGTCTATGTTCAGCAGCCTCTTGGATATGAATTAAAAGGAGAAGAAGATAAAGTTTATAGACTTTATAAAGCTTTATATAAATTAAAACAGGCTCCAAAAACGTGGAATCATAAAATTGATTTTTATCTTCATCATAATAGTTTAAGCAGAATTCAATCCAAACCATCACTCTATATAAAGAAGAAGGGAGAAGATTTTATAATGATTTGTCTCTATATTAATGATCTGATTTTTGCAAGAACAAGTAAGGATATGATTGCAAAATTCAAGACTGCTATGATGAAAGAATTTGAAATGTCAGATCTTGGCTTAATGAGATATTTTCTTAGTATTCAAGTGAAGCAATCTCCTCGAAAAAATTTTATTTCACAAGTATGTTACAGATCTCTTAAAGAAATTCAATATGTTAGAGTATAAACTAATAACATCTTCAATAGTAGCAAATAAGAAGTTACTATAGGATGATGGTGCAGCAGAGATTGATTCAAAGTATTTTAGAAGCCTTATTGGGTCCTTAATCTACCTCACAAATTCAAGACCTAATATACTTTATTTTGTCAGCATTATCTCTAGATTTATGGAGAATCCCAGCAAACTTTACCTTGCAATAGCTAAAAGGATCTTACAATATCTTAAAGAAATCAAAAATCATGGAATCATGTATAAATAACAAGATGAAAATAGGTTGATTGGCTATTCTAATAGTGATTGGACAAGAAGCTATAATAATAGAAAGAGTACATCTAGATATGTGTTTTGTCTTGGAACAAATATAATATCTTGGTGTTCAAAGAAGCAAAGTTTTATAGCCTTATCTTCTGCAAAGGCAGAGTATATGGCAACAAATGAAGTTATTTATCAGTCAATTTGGTTAAGAAGAATCCTGTGTGATCTACAGTAAAGTATTCTTGATCCTTCCACTATTTTATGTGATAATATGTTAGTTATTACTATAGCCAAGAATCCTGTTTGTCATGTAAGATCAAAACATATAGAGTTGAGGTATCATTTCATTAGAGAGATGGTTAGCAAGAAAGAGATCCAGCTAGAATTTAACAACGTTTATGGTCTACCTGCAGACATCCTCATCAAAGTTGTTCCATTTTAGAAGTTTCAGTAATTCAAGAAATTTTTTAAGATTACAAATTAAAAGAGGGTGTTAAATATAATTTGTAATGTTCAATGTATGTTATTATCATTTATGGTTTTTTTCAGTTGCCTTTTATTAACTTTTATGGTCTTTTATTAAAAGGAAGTGTTTCTACTTCATTAATTAACCTTTGTAGTTCTTTTACTCTTCCTTGTACTATAAAAGGTGAGCAAAACAAGAAGGAAATATAACTAAGATTTGCCTCTGGTATTGAGCTGTAGCTCTATTATTTATCCTTTCAATTCCTCCTTTGTTTCCGCTTTTATTTCCAACAGAAAGAACTTCATTGACTATAAGGGGTGTGGGTGTGGGTGGGTGGGTGGGTGTGTATGTGTAAACCCATCATATTTGTATTACTGAATTGGAAAGATTCTGAGCTTGGTGGTTGTGTATAATTATTTTGTTCTTAATTATATATCTCATGGGTGATCGATTAGGAGTTTTTTCCCCTTCACTATTAATTCAAGGTGTACATATCGGAAAGAAATAATTACATGTTGTAACATATATATGCGTATGGGAAACCAATCACAAGGATAATTCCTGAACTACCGTTGCAGCCCAACAATCAGTTGCCCTGGTATGTAACTACCGCTTAGTTTGATTATTATTATTTTCTGCCAATTTTTTTCAAAACAAAGATCTAAGTTTATCGTTCTTCTTTGTTTATTAATTGCAAGTTTGAAGGCCCTTCTTGGGAGAGCTTTCTAGGAAGAAAGGATGGCCTGACAGCTAGCCAAACTGGTGCAAATAAGGCCCTTCCAAGTCCATTTGATCCCCTCATTGCGACTGCATCCAAATTTGCTGCTGTTGGACTAGACAGTAGAGACCTGGTGGCGTTGTCTGGTAATTAAATCTTGATATATAAGCATATATTTTCAAATAACGTGAACGAATTTAATAACTGGTGTCTAATAACTTTTTTGCTAGGTGCCCATTCATTTGGCCGGGTCCGGTGTCTGTTTTTAACTCCCCGGCTTTATGATTTCAACAACACCAGGAAGCCTGATCCCACTTTTGAGCAGAACACAACTGAAGATACTCGAGGTGGAAATGGGACAGTTCTCACTAACCTAAACCCAACAACAGTGAATACATTTGACAACAGATACTTCTCCAATCTGCAAACAAGTGCAGGCCTGCTTCAAAGTGACCAGGAGCTGTTTTCAACTCCTAAATCAAATACAGTGGAGCTGGTTAACCAATTCAGTGCCAACCAGACAGCTTTCATTGAAAGCTTTGTAGCTTCCATGATTAAGATCAGTTATATTAGTGTTCTAACTGGGATGGAGGGAGAAGTGAGGACTCGTTGTCTAAGAGTGAATAATATTTAAATATGAAGTCGATGGTAATGTTTTAAAGTTTGCAGTCTACTCTTAAAATGGTACTATCAAAAAACAATTAACAGTTATTGGATTCTGATTGAGCTTTTCTGCATGTCTATTGATATTCAAGTGCTAGTTCTTAACAGAAACCTTACTTATTTTGCCAGGAAAAGAAAAGTGAAAGATGGATTTATTTCCAACCGTAAGAACGGCCTAAGATGCAGGGAGTTTTAAAGCAATGCCAAAAGGGCTCTATATCTTTGCCTACATTCCATAGAATTCTGTAGATTTAGTGTGGTCGTTGTGTGTGTGTTGGAGCTGCGGGCATTTGAAGACTTGGCGCAGGTAATTCTGTATAACAATTAGGCCCAAATTTAAATGCAAAACAGCAGAAGGCATTAAGTTTAGGCTACAAGAATGCATTAAAAATGGTACGGTCCACTAAAAATAGCCTAAGGACACCAAAAAATAAAAACACTGAAAGATGGATTTATTTCCAACCCTAAGAACGGCCTAAGATGCCGGGAGGTTTAAAGTAATGCCAAAAGGGCTCTATATATCTTTGCCTACATTCCATAGAATTGTGTAGATTTAGTGTGGTCGCTGTGTGTGTGTTGGAGCTGCGGGCATTTGAAGACTTGGTGCAGGCAATTCTGTATAACAATTAGGCCCAAATTTAAATGCAAAACAGCATAAGGCATAAGTTTAGGCTACAAGAATGCATTAAAAATGGTACGGTCCACAAAAAATAGCCAGGAACACCAAAAAATAAAAACAGTGAAAGATGAATTTATTTTCAACCCTAAGAACGGCCTAAGATGCAGGTAGGTTTAAAGTAATGCCAAAAGGGCTCTATATATCTTTGCCTGCATTCCATAGAATTGTGTAGATTTAGTGTGGTCGCTGTGTGTGCGTTGGAGCTGCAGGCATTTGAAGACTTGGTGCAGGCAATTCTGTATAACAATTAGGCCCAAATTTAATGCAAAACAGCAGAAGGCATTAAGTTTAGGCTACAAGAACGCATTAAAAATGGTACGGTCCACTAAAAATAGCCCAAGGAACACAAAAGCATAGCCTTCTTCGACAAAATTAGGCCGTTTCTATAATTACTTCAGCTTCTGTTTGGCGTTTTGTTTGCCTGTTCTTATGCTATTCTTAATTGTAAAATATTGATTGTAAAAACAAATGTACATTGAGTTACTGGGGTGATGCTGATTTTCCTCTGCCTTGGATTCCAATAAGGGCATTTATCAGCTGATTTTCTGGAAAATTGTTGTTGTTGTTCATCAACTAGAGAGGATTGACAAACATGAGCATTTTTTCCTGATGATTTGAAGAGTTTTTGAGGCTTAAAAAATTATGGTAAAAATAACGTAGGAGAAGGGCTCAATTGCTAGCTTAAATTAATAGCAGCATTCAGTTTTATAACCATTTTTTTGGTGATATTTTGTTGGAACAAGAATCTGAAGTAAGGCTTGAGTTGTGGTTCAGTTAAGTTAGTTTGTGGTCTTTAAGGAACCAGAAGGAGAAAAATGTCTTTATGGGTTTTGTGACACGTGGTTTGCTCTTATTCTGTTACGTGTCGTCTGTTTGAAGATGCTGATTTTTAATGGAACACTTCAAATTAGTCCCCCTGTTAGGGCTTTTCTCATTGGAGTTTCCAAACTACTGATATTCTCAATCGTGTTCCACCATCCTTCATTGTTTCCCATTTGGATCCCTATGATATTCTGATGTGAGGATGGAAAAACGGAACAGTCAATTAGGTTCCAGTTACCTCGATCAGATAACATTAACTGACAGTCGATGGATGTTGATGAAGGGACCCAATTGAGGAACTGATAAAATATGAGGGACCTAATAAATAAAATCAATAAATAGTTTGAAGAAAAAGACTAGCAGCTTCTCTGTTGAAGCTGTAATAACTATCAGATAGCTGCTGATGTTTAGAATGGAAATGCAGACATGGAAATATAAGCATTGGTGCTATCCTTAAGGACTGGCACGTTAATATTCGAGTTTCAGTTGTTGGATTCTAAGGATTTAATTCTATAATTTTGATCTTTGTGCTGCACTGATAATCTGAGATGTTCTTTAGATTTCCCTGCAAAGATTTGTATTGATCTTCATCTTATGGTTGTGCATTTAAAGCATGCAAGTGTTGGCCTGGCTTTGTGGTGCACTGCTTGGTGCTAGACAGCTTCTTACTTTAGCTTGTTCTTTTTATGGTTTGTCCGGTTGACTTGCTGCGGGTCTGGCCTTCTGCTTTTGCTTTCGAGATAGCAAAATAGAAGAGCTCCAACCTTTCACTTCAGAGCACAATGAAATGTCGCTAGCTAGCATTATCATGTCAAGATGTTTCTGATGATGCAAAACATCTCTTGCATCAAAAGGAATAAGCTGGAGTACCTCGTTATGGCTAGCTAGCACTAGCTAGCTGATCCAAGACCAAAAAAGGTGTTGCAGAAAGGCTATAATTTATGGTTTCTAGTGGCTGGATAATGTTAGAGATTGTAAGGTGGCTCTGTCATCAGTCCACTTCCATATTATTCTTCATAATTAATAGCCGTAGTTGAAGTGAAGCTGCCATACACTTAATGTTCATGGCAATTGCCAGTTATTTAATCAAGCAGAAGTCAGCTTCCAGCTGCTACTCTCTAATTAGATATCAGAATTGAGAAATTATCCTTATCATGTTTAGTTGCTGCCATTAAATTATAAAAACATGTCCGTATTCGCGTGGCTAAGCCTGTCAGGTGCTGACAAAATTAGAATTCTTCTTAATCTCAGTACCTTCGATTTTAATATGACACTAGTGCTCTTAAGTGTGCTTTGATTCATGAACTTGCAAATAAATGCTTAAACTACATTGAATCTGATAGCAATGCACCCACTTTATTTCATTCAAATTGTTTGTCGGTAATTTTAAATATTCAAGTCTGTAAAATCTATGCAAATGGTGAAGCTTAGTGCAGCCTTTTGAGCACAGGAACCAGCCGCAGCCGGCGCCATACATCACCAGCACTAATACTAAATAGAAACATGTGCTGTATTAGTGTAGACAAGTTGAGATTAAATTTGTCTATGATGTTGGTTATAAATAGAACTTCAAGTTTTTTTCAATGCTCAAGTATCTGATCCTTAATCTTGTTAGAACAAGTTTTCTTTCAACACGTCTTGTGAGAGAACTTTCGTAGCTAGTAGCCATGAAGAGGTCGAGCTGCTATAACGGTTATTCGTTGTTTCTGACAACGTTGATGTTATGTGTAGTTGCCAGGTCCCAACTGACTACTGATTTCTATTCGACAACATGTCCTAACCTTCTCCAAATTGTCCGTAGAGAAGTTCAGAAAGCTATCAAGTTCGAAACACGTATGGCAGCCTCTTTGATTCGGCTTCATTTTCATGACTGCTTTGTCAATGTAAGTTTAAGCATGATTCGGCTTCATTTTCATGACTGCTTTGTCAATGTAAGTTTAAGCAGACCCATGCTTATAAGCCTGTGCATCTAACAGATTTATTTCTGGAGGATTGAGTGGTTGCAATATGATTTCCTATGGCCTTTTATGACTTCAGATTGATGAGTTTAAGAATTATTCCACTTGCACCTTGTGCTTTTTAGGCACACTTACTTTTCTTTTTTTAGATATATTTTGCAATCAACTTCTGTAAAGCATCATTAGGTCATAATTGACATAAAAACAATGTCTTCTTCTTGATAGGGTTGTGATGCATCAGTTCTGCTGGATGGAAATGATGGTGAGAAGTTTGCTTTGCCTAACATAAACTCGGCAAGGGGATTTGAAGTTGTGGATGCAATAAAAACTGCTGTGGAAAGCCAATGTAGTGGTGTTGTATCTTGTGCTGATATACTAGCCATAGCTGCCCGAGATTCGGTCCTCCTAGTAAGTTTACTCTTTAGATCCTTGCTCGTTTCCGAACACATCAGGTATCCTGAGATAAAACATTTTGCGAGTTAATGATCTTAATAAATTTTGCAGAGAGGACTAATAACTTCTTACAGCAGATGATGAGCTTAATATATATCAAAGCAAGTGTTTATTGTAGAATTTCCTCATGACAAATATATGACTGACTCTGATAAAAGATTTCCTTCCTGAAATAACATATATATCTAATTCACTTTCTTTCTTGAGTTGCATTATCACAACCATTCAAGTGTTAGTCCAATATAATATGTTTATCAAGTGAATATGAAGCATTTATAGATGACTTTGGATGACAATATTGCTGCAGAGTGGGGGGAAATCATGGAGAGTTCTGCTCGGAAGAAGAGATGGACTAGTGGCTAACCAGACTGGAGCAAATGCTAAACTTCCTTCCCCGTTTGAAGATGTGGATACGATCATCAACAAGTTTGCTGCAGTAGGATTAAATATCATAGACGTAGTCGCCTTATCGGGTAATGCATCACATATTCATGGACGGCATGATGCTCTGTGGTCAACTTTGATAAGAAATGCCCCCGTTATTGCGTGTCATCAGTTCTTGTGTATTCTCATCAGAAATTGTGACTTTCATCTATAATTGCATTATGCTGAAGATTGGATATCATGTAAATTCATGTAGGTGCTCACACAATTGGACAAGCAAGATGTGCCACCTTCAACAACAGATTGTTCAACTTCTCGGGAACCGGTGCTCCGGACAGTACAATGGAATCAAGTATGGTGTCTGATCTGCAAAATCTGTGTCCACTAACTGATGATGGCAACAAGACTACAGCTCTCGATCGGAACTCCACTGATCTATTTGACAACCACTATTTCCAGAACTTGCTAAACAGTAAGGGTCTTCTCTCATCTGACCAAGAACTATTTTCAAGTACCAATTTGACAACCAAAGTTCTGGTTCAGGCCTATAGCGCTAATCAAAATCTTTTCTTAAATGACTTTGCTAATTCCATGATCAGAATGGGGAATATAAGCCCGCTAACAGGGTCTAGTGGAGAGATCAGGAAAAAATGTAGTGTGGTTAATTCGTAAGACGAAATTCATTAAAGTAGGGTTTGTTAGGTAAGGAATGTGCAAAAGTTTATTGCTCTCTATCGAAGCTGTATGGTCAGTGAAGTCAGGCACTACAGGTCTTGTTTTAGTCCATGAATAAATTCATAATGAGGTGGGTTTTATATATTTTGATGGGATACCTGTCTTCTCTCCCCTTTTCTATATTGCAATACCATGCAGCTCAAATTGTACTCGTACTTGTTAAGCTAGAAAAACGATAAATAATAAATAATAAAAACATATTTAGTTGACATAAAATCAATCTATTACTTAATAGTTTTAAAGTCAAGTTATATTTTTTCCCAAAAAAAAAGAAAAATGTTATTTTTATCTTCATTATTTTTATATCTTTTATCTCGAAATAGTAATCAAATACTAATATATAAGCCATTACTCATCTTCGATAAACTTACATTTCTTGAACTAAATGGGATTAATATGTCCTGATTATCAATAAAGTTCCTGAAAAGAAGATAACACATAAGAAAAATGGCACTAAAGATGCAATCATGGGCATCATTGCCAAGCTCTAAATCTATGCCTTAAGCAGCCAGGACGATATAAAATGAGTCTATAAAAAGAGTGAAACTATCACATTGTTAGCAGCATATCATCTCGGGCCAGATCATCATCATTCAGCAATCTGTAGCAAAGTCAACGATGAGCCTCTAGTTCGATAACATGCACCTCCTGCTCTCTTACAAGAGGTCTTGGGTTTCAGCCTCTAGTAAATCACAAAAAGTTCCGCAGCAAAGTCTCTAATCCCATTAAAGTGGTTCTGAAGCAAAGTCTATTAAGCCAATTGTACAACTTTACGAGCCACGAAGAATTGGCCCCAACAACTTATGCTATTAGGGTTTTTCACCTTCAAAATATTACTGAATTTGTTGGAAATGTTATCCTTCGATATTTTAGCTCTATGGACTTGATGAAAAGTATCTTTAGCTATGATTAAGAGGGGAAAATGTTGATTTTCCATTTTTGCAACATATTAAACCGAAAATATTATATATGTTGATTGTTTAAAATCTGGCATTCAAATCATTGTATGCTGCATATGACCATCCTTAAAGCCTTGATCTATTGCCAACGATAAGGAATCAATATTATGATTATGGAAAATGTGGTCATCCAGGCAAGATTTCACTCCTTGTGACTTTGTCAGACAGATTTCTATGGCATTTGGCAATTCGAGTAGCATACTTGCACCTACTTTAGGCATGTTTGGTCCCAGTAAATCTGAAGTTTCTATCATCGCATAATTCAGAATGTACATGACACTATGCCTTTCATTTGGATCATATTTTTGCACAACATCAAAAACGGATTGGTTAAAGAAAACTTGGCAATTTTGGTTCCATATCGCAGTAATTTTTTACCAGTGGATAGTGAAGTCTGTTCAAATAAATATATTGTTTGTTTGATTAGAAACATGGTTTTCTTTTATTTAAAAAAAACCATTATAATTTGAAATGCAAGTTTCAATAAACATGCCAATGTCTGCAGAAGATAAGTAGGACACAAGCAACACAAAAAAAATATAGAAAATTTAATGAGCAAAGACAGTTTAATATATAAATTATCAATTCACAGTTTTATTTTCTGAAAAATAAAATATATAGTTGTTGCCTCTTAAAAGGTCTGCAAGATTTCTAAAAAGGTCAGAAAACGCTATCTCTATTAGAAAACAACTAAGAATTCAAAAACATAAATGACATAACCAAAACAAAAAAATCCAAATTAGAATAAAAGAAACATTGGAAAAATAATAAAATCAACCTAAACAAGAGCATCATGTCTCAAAACAAGATTATAAAAGATTTAATGGTCTGTTCAACAATAAACAGTATAATGGTTACTCCAGTTAGATTTTTTTATAGAATTACCTGTAAGAATTTAAACTTGATTCAACAATTGAATCTTTTATTATTGATTTTGTTATTGAAATTTTAAAGAGCTAATCATGCCTAACGTCCTAGACCCTTTCTTTTTCTTCTTGTACCTGAACAGGTCATGCATATAACCTCCTATTTGGATTAAATTCTTATTTAGTAATATTAAATTTTTAACTTATGTCTATAAACCCGGCCACATCACATGTTCTTATAATTTTGCCAAAGCTAAAATTATCCTCGAATCAAGACGATCTTAAAAGCCTCGAAGGCAAAATCTTCATCAACGTTTGTCTCTAGGTTTAAATTTAGTGAAGTTAGAAAAAATTTAACCATTAAACTTATTATCTACGCTCTAAATATAACCAAATCGACAGGTAAGTAAATGTGGGTTGATGGTCCAAGGACTGTGCCATAGCCTATGAATGTTGATCAAGCTTCCACCATTAAGCCCACGATTAAGCATAAACACAACCATTTCAGTTTGCTTTTAGACCACAAATTCCAGGTCATACAGGCTTCCAACATCAAGCGCACAATTTTGATGGTCTATGGGCTGGGCTATAGTGTTCAAACAGCACTTGCAGGCCTTCTCCGGCAGCCTAAGAAGGCCGACCACCATGTCTCCCGCACCATTGAGTGGAGGCGCTTCTAATGGGATACTGTATGCATGGTGGTTCATGGCGGTAGTGGGATTTTTTCTCGAGATTCACGCTATCCCAGCCACAATAAAAAAAAAAGTCCTCCCGTCTTTTTATATTAGTTATAGGTCTCATTCCCTTAATTATATTTTTATTTAAACCAAACCAAGTTTATAGTAAATGAAAAACCAAATCAGTCCATAGATCTTTTCATTTAGTTTTTTTTTTTTTAGCTTTTCGATAGGCTTTGATATTCTGTGCACTTTTGGTTCTTTATTTGAAAATTTTAATTCAATTCTGTTTTTTTTTCTTTCTAATGAGTTTTTTCATTTGTTCTCTAAGGTCAATTTTCAGATTGATTGATTTTGCGTAAGATTTTCTTAACTATTCATTAGTTTACTCAACCTGATTTTTGAGGTTTAATACCTGTTTAAAATATAATAACAATTACTTTTTCAAATAATTTTTATATCAAAGTATATTAAAATAAATTTTTTATTTTTAAAATCAACCCATCAAACCAATCCAAAATATATAAAAAATAAATAAAATTTACATTACATTCCCAAAGTGTTTAAATGAAAATCCTCCGAGAAACAACCTTCGCAATCGAAAAAGTAAAATCCTAAATGTTCTTTTTATCTTTGAACATGAAGTTGTTCTAAATATTCGTAAAAGCTTACAGCAGCAGCAAGCCAGCCATTAAAATCAGGACCCAAGGAAACGTCAGGATTGAAAGAGGCTGCGATACGAAGGAAGGAATAAATAATAGGTTTCTATTCCACTTTGGAAAATTCGTCTGTCAAAAAGTAAACGTAAATACAAATGACAACAAGGAAGGCAACGCGTGAGCTGACGGCAAAACCCATACCCTGAAGGCATTGTTGCATGCGTGACACATTGCCTTATCCTCAGCAGCAATCTTTAACACGGGTGGAGATCATGGTCAGCATCACCAGTGGAGGACTTCCACTCGGACATCACCATTAACCATTTAAGGATGTGCAAGAACCACATGGCCAGTTGACATCGACCCGGTTTCAACGTCACCCACATAAATTCATATCCAAATTAGAGGACAAATTGAGATGAGCTTAAAGCATTTAGCAAGGCTAATCCCACCACCACAAACATCCATCTTGGAGGCTGCCTTTCAGGGGTCAACCACACAGGAAACAAGTGTTAGTCCTGTAATTTGAATGATGCTCACTCAATTCATGACTAGATTACAAACACGTGCAAGTATTACCATGAACCATGAGAACGAATTCTGTCGAGATTCAACTAATGGAATTGCATCAATAATAAACCTAATGCGGCAGACAAACAATGGTTGGCATAGCTTCATGTCGGGCGGGAGAATGCAGGAACACGGGATAAGGAAGATGGAGAGAGACCAAAGTGTCATGTTCTCATAAACCTCATCTCCTGGATGCTGATCGACGTATCACTGAAATCATATCCTCGGTAGCTAGCACAGAAGAGAAGATTTCAGAAACATGCGATGCAACCAAAACCAATTGAATGCCAGAATGCGCAGAATACGAAAACTAATTTAATACAGTATCTTATAAGCTATCAAAAGTGAGTACTTCTCATCTCACCATTCCGTGTTCAGGTCAATAACAGCATTCGCCGGACAAAGGCTTATTGCAAATTGGCCGCTGCATAGGATGCTGCTGCTGCTGCAGAGTGACTGATACCATCAATCACTCTGCTTCCTTGGCTGAGCACCATGTCCCCTACTCACCCCCCTCTTTAAAATCCCATGGGGATGAATCAGTTTCAGCTCAAGAATGTTCTCACTTGCACCAATGATTGGAATCATCCTCGTTGACAGACAAAAGACCAAGTTATGCAACTGAAAGATAGACATGCATAAGCCATGACTCGGTCTGATCAGGCAATCAATCCACTGTTGGGTGGATTGGTAGCTGGTCTGTGTGGCCAGTTAGAGAGTCAAATTATTTACCTCCACAAAAAGTCCCAAAAAAATAAATATAATCAGGCCAGAATATGTTAAAATGTCACTAGGTGCGTTTCGCATTCTTTAAATTCAAAAGGAAACAAACCTAGTCAATCAAGTAATATAACAAATTTTGAAACTCATTCTAACAACTGACAGTTTGGGAAAAGATTCATCCAAGGTCATCGTCCCATTCTTTCAATACAATATTCAAATGCAATATGAAGAGATAATGAACTTATAGACAAAAATCACCCACAAATGCACCAGATTCCAACCCACCTCATTTGCAAGTCAAAACTTACTGTCAAGCTCATTAGCATCATCAAGTCCACGATTTTCTGCATCATCCACCAGCACAATCACTTGTGTGAAAGCAACATCAGCATGCTACTTCACACACCTATAAAAGGCAGCCAAAAAAAAATTAATGCTAAACACAAGCATCACATTTATGGGTAACATATGAGTCTCAGGGGCTACAGTGGCTCAAACATAGGACAGTTATTTTTATGATCAATTGGACCATCCAAAGCTCAAAAGCAATTTTAAGTACAAATCAACCTGCATTAACCGCATACGGTGATATGGTGAGATACTTTATGTTCTCATGTCCGCAATTACAAATCAACCTGCATTAACCGCATATGGTGATATGGTGAGATACTTTATGTTCTCATGCAACATGTTGCACTACAGCCCTCTCTGAACAATCCTGTAACAGAAATACCAAGAGACAGAGCATTTTAGAGACCATTTACTTTCCAATTTTGGCCACTGGTTGTCACTCCAACAGTTACCGGACCACAATTAGCAGCAATAGTTGTAGGCATCACAGGTAAAAGTTTAGCACTGATAAGCAAAGTTCCAAGAGCAACCCTGCAACGAAATCTGCCAGCATTCTCAAATTGTAAAGTGTTAATCAGGTACTCTCAGATAGGGAAGTCTTATTGAAATCTCCAACAGCTGGTATTCTACTTCTATTCATGTCTGGAATCGTAAGGAGATAAAACTAGCATCCACTATCAAGTCACGGAAATCACTCAATCATGTATAATTTTTATAGCTAAATGTCATATCAATCTGGGATTTTGGAGGGTGAACTCTTCAGGCTCACAAGTTTCAGATCTCCTGACAAAACCACACAAAGAACATGAAGATACAGCCATAAAGAATACAAAAAAATACCCCTAACCAAATATAGAAACATAAAAAAAAGTGATAACAATTACAAAGGTACATGTGCACAGATCAGAATAGCAGGCCTCCCTTCCATGCAATGAAGAATTGAAATAATACTAGAAGGTAATAGACATATAAGTACTGATAATTTGTATAAAACATTCAGAAAGGCATTCCATGGAAAAAGAAATAACATGGTGGAAATGATTATGGCATTAGACAAAAGAAAAGCTAGTACATCATGGACATCATGGTTAAAGATTTACGTTACACATTCCAGGTTACATCCATCTCCAAATCCATAAAACGCAACATACAGATTTGCTTTTAACAGAACGAAACCTTCAGATAGCCCTCAATTACCCTGAACCTTACCACCCAAATAACACCCGCAGCCCTAAAAAGGATAACAAGATGCAACTTACTTCCTACATTTTCTAAAACTGAACAAGGAAAAATCAGGGAGTCAAACAAACTCTCCCTATTTCCTCCTTTCAGACCATAAAAACATAAAAGTAAAGGGAAAATTAAACTACATCTACAGAGATCACGTTTTTCCTTTGCGTAAAGGCAAAAGCAAAATATTCCATTTTTTCAGAGAAGAGACTTACATTAACGCGGGACAAAGGATTAGTCACCACCGCCAATGCTCTTCTCTAAGTTCAATTGTTCATCAATGGACTTCCTTCTTTGAAACAATTGTCTAGCACAATCCTGTTGTCACCAATATCATAATCACCCTTGGACAGGCTCCTCCTCCTCCTTTGCAACCAGCCTGTCTAGTAAAACTTCAATTCCCCTTTCTTCATCCTTTGCTCCATCATCCTTCCCCGTTTCCGCATCAGTAGGTACAAACCAGTCTCCTCTTTCTCCACCCTTAACTTCATTTTCCTTAATAATCACTGCGTCATTTCCTACAACTTCATCATCTCCTACATATCCACTAGTTGCCTTCTCATCCTTAACCTTATGCTTCACAATAACGTGATCATCAGGTACATTCTCTTCCATACAAACATCATTGCTCTCCTCCTTACCACCATCTCTAACATTCCTTCTCTCTCCATTTCCACCTACATACTCCATCACCTCCTCGTTACCGTCGCCTCCGGTATTCCCACCAATATCAGATACTCCATCACTCTCATTCTCCGAAACATTCTCCACAACCTCCTCATTGACATCCTCCACAACCATAGCACTACTGCTCTGCCCATGATGATGATGCTGCTGCCTCTCTAAAAACTGCAACCTCCTCCTCAAATCCCCCAACTCCCTCTCCATCAAAAACAATCTTTCTTTCAAAGTCAAATTCTCCTCTTCCAATTGCGCTATGTGGGTGTCCTGATCATCAACCCTATTCTCCAAAACATTATTATAACTATACTCCCCTCCTCCGCCGCTCGGATAAATCATCTCAAACCTACTCAAATCATGATCCAATCTCCTCTCCACTTCCACATGCTCCTCTACATCACTCTCACTCGATCCATTTCCCTCTTCATCTTCCTCATCCTCATTGGCTTCGTTCCCCGGCGATCTCAACCTAATCAACCCCTTCATCGATCCATACCCATCAACACCCCACTCCTCCTTCGCCATATCCCCCAACACCTCCCTCGACGGCGAAAATATCGGAGTCGGCAACACCGCCGGAGTCACCGGACACGGCGAAACCAACGACGCGATCCCACCAGACTTTTTCGCACGGATAATAAACGACGTCGTATTCCTCGGCGCATAAGGCGCAAAACGGTTATTAAATTTCTTCTTTGGATGATAATATTTCCGCGCTTTCATTCTGTTTTGTGTTTGCAAATCATTCAAGCTCGGCGGCTTATACCCTCCACCACCGGATAAGGCAGGGTTATTATTGGAATTCTCCATTCTTTTGTTGTTGTTGACATTTTTACCCTTCCAGTTGTTGTTGTTGCTGCTGCTTCGAGGCTTCGAAGGGACAAAATTGTTATTGAACTTCAACGGATTCTGCTGCTGATTTTGAAACTTCTTGTACGGTCTCTGGTTCATCATCATCAACGGCTGTGGTTGATTCATGGCTTGACTGTGACTCAACATCTGTGACTGAATAGAAATCGGCGGAGGAGTAGGTTGTACCGGATTCATGACCGGAATAGGCGGTGCCTGACTCATCAATTGCGGTGGCTGCTGGTTCATGATCGTCGCCGGTGGCTGGTCGTTCATTATTCAGACAAACCCTAACAAAAAATTCAAAAAAAAAAAACCTAAAATTCTTGATTTTGATTTTTAAAAAGATCACAATTGCAATCAAAACCAGATTTCGAACATTGAAGATCGGGTCAAGAAACCCTAAAAAGGTTGATTTTTTATTTGAATTTTTAGGGTTTTTTTATTTTTGATTTATTTTTTTTATTTTTAGAGATCTGGAGATTTCGTCTTTATGGCTAATTTTTTAGGACCGTTAATAGTGAGAAAGTAGGGTAGGGGTTAGGGGCTGTTTATATAGGGGTTGAGGGGGATTTATGACTGTCGGATTTGGGGATTTCGTTAAGGACGGTAGAGATGAGAGAACGTGTCGGTTCATGGGTGTTTTGATTTGACTGCTGGAAGGGGATTAGGGGGAGAATTGCAGGTTAGCCCTGATTCTTTGTGCATTTAGGCTGTAGGTGTTGATGTGTTGGGTATTTGCTTGGGAGGATTCAGGGGAAATTGCAATTTGGTCCTTCCGGGTTTGGTAAGAGTTGTGTAGATATTCAATTAAAACAATAGTTTTATGAAGAATGAGGTGATTTTTTATTTTTTAATAAAATCAATCATTGATGGAGTGGTAATAACCTTTCTTTTTGTGCATGTTTCTAGATACAAATAAAATAAATATAATTTTTTTATTAAAAAAATTAGGGCTAAAATCTTAAATTAAAAAATAAATAAAAATATAAATCATAGCACAATAAAAAAGAGCATAGACTATTTGTCTATGTTTGTGAGTGATCAAAATCATGTTAAAGTAGGCTCTGGCAGGTTAATTTAAGCAATCACGATTTAAAATATGTTTTAGGTTGTATTTCAAGTTAATCACGATTAATAATTGATCTAGTTAATGACTTTATATACCTAATTAATATCAAGAAAAATTATTTAAAAAACAAAATTATATTATTTTAATAAAAAAATAATTAATATGAGTGAACTTATGACTCAAGTGTTAAGTGTTAATCCGGCAACCAATAACCCTGAATTTTTTTGGATTAATCCTCAAATTAGTTCAGCTATAACTAAAGTTAGCCATACAATCTACACAAAATAATTAAAATGAATTGATAAATTATTTAAAATTAGTTATACAATCCACATGCACAAAATAATTTAAATGAATTGATAAATTATTTAAAATTAGTATTTAGGTTAAATAGAATCAATTATTTTCATATTTTGGACTAAGTATTTTCTTTATGGTCAAATAAAAAAATACAATTTCTCATTAGCATCCTAGTGAAATTCAATTTACTTTTTTTTAATCTATGTTAGATGGAAAAATAAAGTACTGTTGATTAAGGTATTTTCGTGGTCGATAAACCTTGTTATATAATTAAGACATTTTCACCAAAATTTAATTTATTTTTAACTTGCTGCCATCGCACAATACATTCTTTTTGTGAAATTCCTCTTGATTAAGGCTAGGAAGAGGGGGGGGGGGGGGGGGGGGGGGACCCACAACACCAACACAACTCTCTTCTATTTTGATTTTATAGGGTTTTTTTAATTGATTAATAGATATTGTTCTTTCATTCAACATCCTTGTAGATTGGTGAACCTCTTATTGTTCAGAATTATCAAAGTATAATTGGAAGGGGAGAATGCAAAGAGGAAAAGAATGGAATGAATAATAGAGAATTAGTGAAAATTAAAAAATCAAAATAGAATATAGTTGTGGTGGTGGTTTGGGTGGAAAGTAATAAGAAAAATGATAGTGGTTATAATATTTTTATAAGAAAAAAAAACATAAATGAAAAAACAAATATTAAGATTGTGTTTGATTATTGTTTCAGAATAAAAAAAAATTATAAATGTTTCCATCTAAATTTCCTTAACATAAATATATTTTGTTAAAGAAACATAGAAAAAAACATAAAATAAATTTATCTCTAAAATAATTTTAAAGTAAATTTATATATTTTCAATATAAAAAATCTATAAAAATATATATATATGATTTATCTTTATTGTATTTATCTTTTTTATCGTGTGTCCATAGCCATATACTATTTAAAAACACAGCATTCCTAAAATGATCTATTGTGCTGGAAAGGGAGCAAGTATTTTCTCACTTCTTCTGTGATATCCAGCTCATGTGATGAATGTTATAGGCATTTTAACAAACCCATGAGCATATGGTATACCTGTCGGTCTAAGCCCTCTTTTTTTTTTTTTTGGTTTTCTTGCTCGGTATATATATATATATAACCATAGATGACTACCTAACCTTAATCAGAATCTAACCTAATCTATGCAATAATCACCAAACGTTCTATCCCATTTTGCTGTAGCATTCAAAAGACCTGTTCCTCTAGTAAAACAGAAGGAAAGGAATTTTTGTATATAAATTATTTTTGTATTAAACAGATCTTAGTGTGAAAAGTGACTCCATGTAAGAAAAACACTATGACATGGTGAGCAAGGAAATGATCATGCTAAATCTTTTTTACGATAAATAACTCAACTCGGAGCTAACTCAGTTGGAATAGTATTCATAATTCTAGTGGGCATTGGGCATCTCATGAAAACTAAACTAAAAGAAGAGGACTTTTGTATATTTTGTGGACAGTGGGATTTAAATCTTAAATCATTATAAGTTTTTAACATATGCTTTTCAATCAATGAGCCTAGATTAAGATTAATGTTCATGCTATTCGAAAGCAATGCTATGAACTTGTATAATAAAGTATCTATCTAGCTATATCTTTTTCTTTTTTTTTTTTTATCTAGCTATATCTTGGGCATCGAAGTTGGAGTGTGAAGGATGGACTCATTAGTGAAAGACACTTCGTACTTTGCTAGATTTAGATATGTGGTAATAATTTTAAAATATTGAGCTAGAGATTAAAAATGTATTTTTTACAATATAAACTAATATAAAAATATACATTTACTATCAAGTTAAAGAAAAAAAAAAAGTGGTAGAATATTCCATTTTACAACATTTGTAACCACAGAGCTACCTTTTAAAACACGAATACCAGCATCTAAAAAAAAAAGGGAAGCCATGGATTCTCTTCCTTTTTCTCTCCTGGCATCCTTTTCACTTCCCAGTCACACCTTAATTAATTTACCTTTTTTCTATTAGTAAATTTCTTTCTTATACCGTCAACTTTATTATAAAATAAAATGATAATATGAATATAAACGAATGAGAATAAATCATCCACCATAAAATTTGAGTTTTCAGAATAAAAATCGTACTAGACTATGGTATCAGAGTGTTAAAGATACCAAGAAATATAACTTCACAGCCAATTCTGTACGCATGTAAGAACGTAACATGATTGTAGAACATTTAATCAATTCTAACACAGTTTAATTTACCATATAAAGAATGATTCTGGAGAGAAGAGAACAAGAATATTGGTTTTATTTTACAGAAAATGGACTGGTACTGTGTACGATAATTGGAGAAATGGAGTTGATGATAGTGGCCCCTGATCCCATCTGGTGATCTCGAATCTCCATACGGATTGGTAACTAATCGAACCTCACCTTCCTCTTTGATTTGTCAATGTCACTCACGTGAACACCTTCGCTCAGATCACAACACGTAGGAGACTTTGCATGATAAGATAGAACATCGTTGCATAAAAGAATGGAATCTTCCTTCAAAAAGACAAGAGTGAGAGAAGGAAGAAAACAAGAAATTGCCTGTTTTTGTATCAAATACCCCTCAAAACCAATCCAAATATATGTCTTTTTTTAGAACAGTTTTTGTTTGAATTATTACCTGGTGAATAGTAAATAAAGTGTTATTGTTATCAAACACATTCAAAATCACAGCAATCAACTGCTAGCAGCCCCAACCACATCGATTGGATTAAACGAATCCTCTGAGAATTGGAAATTGTGCTTGAACTGGGCTAAATAAGGTGCTGTTTGATGACAAAGATGCAAAGGGAAATGAAAGTGAACTGGTTACGTTCTCGTTCGGAGCTGCTGCAAGAATGCCCAATCCTCGGCTGAGTCGAGTTTGGAAGGTTGACAGGAACGGGAACAAAGAAAATAATTAATGCTATAGGGATGAAGATCAGCATCCCGAACCCAGCACCATGCAGTCAGATAATTGAACGGATGGATTTTCATGATCCCATCTTTTCATCACAAATTTGCTGATAATAGGAGATTTTGGAGCAACTGACTTGTCAGATCATCACAATTCACATAGATTTTAGCTGGGGTTCGTTTTGGGATACTTTGTTCATAACTTTTGCTATGAGTATTAAAACGACGTAAATTACCTCCTTACAGGATCCTAAATTCCATTCTTCTAAAAATTTTACTTTTATTTTTATGATTTTATGGTGATTTTTAAGTCGGATTCTGCTTAAGTTTTATGTCAGATTTTCCTGTATTTTTATTTTATTGAATAATTGAAATTAATGTTTTATTTTTTGCCATGTTTTCAGAAAGTTCTGCTTCTTTTTTGCTTTCAAAATTGCTGGTTCAAAGTGTTAAAGTTGGCAGGTTCGCCTCTCATCTTTTTTCCTTTTTATTTGCTCTTGTGGTTTTGATCTTAACTTCTGCATCAAAAACAATTTTAAAAACTTCCCTGGAAATGGCGTTAAAAGAATCTTCAAAATATATTTTTATCACAAATAAAATAAATTTATAATATGATTATGAAAATTAAATCAAACTTAAAAAGAAATTATTCTAATTCCTCTTATAAGAAATTGAAATAAAAAATCGGGGATTAATAAGAAAACTAGAAAAAAATAAAATTTTGAAAATAAGACAAGATAATTCAGTATTTATATTCTCAATACAAAAGAATTGTCTATTTAACAAATTAGATTGATCATCAAAATAAAACAAATATTCTTTTTAATTCAAGCAAATACTTAAATTCATTTAAGCAAGGAACATAAAAAAAAATCCCCTAATTAATCCCTTAACATCAATTGAATTAAAGATTAAAAAGAAATTTTTATATTTGGTGATGAAAGCTTTAAAAGTAAAAAGCAATCAAGTACTCTAAATTATCATTAAAAAGCTTAAGGATATTTTACTTGTCTTATTATTTTAACTTGAAAGTTAAATCAACTTAATTCATTTATTTTGCTTCTTTTTTTATTGGATGTCCATCATTTCTATATCAAATTCTCAGCTGAAATGTGATGTTAAATACCATTAATTTCCTTATCAAATTAAAAAACCAATATTGTCCTTCAACTTGCATCTAAATTGTTGTTTTT